GAAGAGAAGGGCCACATGGAGGGCAGGCTCCACAGCTCCCGGAGAAAAAAAAAGTTCCAAAAAGAGCCGAGATCATCGGGAAGTCCCAGATGGGGTAGGTGCCGCATCCCGCCTCCCCCAGATGGAACCCCGGTGACCAGAAGCCTCTACAAGCACAGCTCGAGTATGCGGGCACTAGGACTTTTCCTCCAAACCACGCAGCTGCACGACATCTCTCTATATACAAAGTGATCAATGGGAAGTACACCACCCAACGTTTCTCCCTGAAAATCAGAGTTAAGTTTGGAGCACGGCCACAGCCCCAGAAACACAAGGACTTAATGCAGAACCCAACAGCTTGGAGCAGAAAAGCGAAAAGACTATGCGTTAATCCAGGCCATCATGTCTGCCCGGAGGGGAAAGGGTGTTGCCCCATTCGCCCTCTCTTCTCTGGAAAGAAAGATGGCGGCCGCATGGGAGCCTTGTGGACAGCAGGTATGAGCCAGGGGTGTGGGGGCAACTAAAACCTCATGGGAAGGGGGGCGTTCCGGTCCGTTCTTCACGCCCTACCGAGGTCACCAGTTGCCCCCCACGAGCGGCTCTCCAGCATGGCCACAGCCCCAGAAGCACAAGGACTTAATGCAGAACCCAGCAGCTTGGAGCAGAAAAGTGAACGGACTATGCGTTAATCCAGGCCATCAAGTCTGCTGGAGGGGAAAGGGTGTTGCCCCATTTGCCCTCTCCTCTCTGGAAAGAAAGATGGCGGCCACATGGGAGACTTGTGGACAGCAGGTATGAGCCGGGGGTGTGGGGGCGACTAAAACCTCATGGGAAGGGGGGCGTTTCGGTCCGCCCTTCACGCCCTACCGAGGTCACCAGTTGCCCCCCACGAGCGGCTCTCTGGCACGGCCACGACTCCAGAGCACAGAAACCAATTTCTTAATTATCTGACTTTCAGTAGAAATACTTCCAGGGTTAATAAGTAAAATAGCAGAAATCCAAAACCAATATTTTATTCTTGAACCCAGCTGTAGAAAGCAAATCACTTCACAATGCTTTTTCAGCATGTCTGATTTGGGGGGGGGGGTAAACTCTAAATAATAGTGGTGAATCTTTTATTGAAACAATGAATCTAATCAAAGCAGATAGAGTGTTAACTAGAATTCATCTGCCTCACAGGGACTGGGAGGGGTGGGGGGTAGGGTTTTATTGGGGTTCTTCATGGTAAAAAATAAGTATTGGTAAAGGGAAATGTGTTTGATATTTACGTGACTGAGACCTAAACCTGAAAGCTTTGTAACTTTTCCCACAGTGATTCAATAAATAAATAAAAAAAAAGATCCAAACTGGAAAAGAAATCAATCAATCACTATTTGCAGATAACATGGTATTATACATAGAAAACCCTAAAGATTCCACTAAAAACTATTTGAAACAATAAACTAAATACAGAAAAGTGAAAGGATATATAATCAATACACAAAAATCAATACATAATACATTTATATATACATATGATTAAGTGGAAAAGGCATTTTAAAAATTGTATTCAGGGTTGGTATTCAAGGTAAAGGGATATACATGATAACCTTTTAGTACCTGTATTTCAAACTATAATGCCCAAAAGGAGAGAGAGAGAGAGAGAGAGAAAGAGAGAGAGAGAGAGAGAGAGAGAGACTCTTTTACAGAGGCAGGCTGGAGGTGGGTGGGAACAAAACTGGGGACATTGGTGGTGGGAAATGTACACTGGTGAAGGGACAGTTGTTGAAACAGTGTATGACTGAAACTCAATTATAAACAACTTTGTAACTGTTTATTTCATGGCGATTCAATAAAAAATAAAAGAAAGGAGTTATTTAAAAATTTCAAATATCGGGGCCAGAGTGATAGTACAGCAGGGAGGATGTTTGTCTGGCATGAGATTAGGCAAACGCCCATAAAGTCCCTCATATGGTCCCCCAAGCACCACCAAGAGTAATTCCTTAGTGCAGAGCCAGGAGGAACCCCTGAGCATCACCGGATGTGAACTCCCCTCCCCCCCAAAAAAGCAAAAAAAAATTCAAGTACTTGCAAATCAACTTTTAAAATGGAAAGATGTATACTTTGAAAACTTTTAAGTTATTTGTGAAAGAATCTGTGAAACAAATAGAAGAGCACAACAGGAAATGGAAAAATATTCTGTGTTTATGCATTGGAAGAATTGATATTGTCAAAATCATCATCCGACTTAAATTATTATACAGACATGATGTATAATTAAGAGTACCAATTCACGTTTCAGCTTCAAAGCCATCTTCCTCCTAAGACTTATTACTGCATTCTTAGGGTTTTTTGTTTTCCATTTTTTTCTATCACGCTATCTTCAAGTTTATTGATTCTTTGCTTGAACATCACTTTCAGATTGTTGAGCATTGTCCTGATTGCTCTCCTGAAGTCTTCTTCAGGCAGATTTCAGAGGTCTGATGTCACTGGTGATCCTCCTGGGTTTTTTTTTTTTGTCTTTTGTGTTCTTTTTCTTTCCCATTGCGTTAGATGTTATATTCACCGTTTATGAGGTTACATTGGAGCAGTGTTGTTTAATGTTGCTGCTTAAGTACAGGTCATATTCTTTGGTTTGAAGCTTGGAATAGTGAGGTGTGCTTAGATTCCATATTATGATAGTGTTGTTGGTGTAGAGTAGGTCTGAGCTTCACTGTGGGACACTGGGGTCAGGACAGATGGATAGAAATGAATTTCCTTATGTTGGTACCTGGCAAGTGTACCCAGGAGAGTTTTTCCTCTACGACCTCTGAAAAGTTAGCCTGAGTCTGACTTTTAAGAAGACACAGGGGGATTGGGATCAGAACAGATGAACTTGAAGACTATTTTGATATATAATTACATTTTCTCTTATTTTCCATTTGTGTGGCATAATTTTCCCACTCCTTCACTTTTAGTATTTCCTTAAAGTTGAAGTGAGTCTTCTGTAAACAGCATATTGTTGAATATTTTAAATATTTTAATTTTTACATTGGTGTGGGGGACACAACGGAAGTGCAGAAGGAGAGTATATGCTGCTAACTTTGTAAATAAAAGTCCATGATGTGTGGTCCATGACTTGAATCTTTCTTTAGTTTGTAGTTGGGTATTTTATAAGGATCTATTTAATTAATATGTGTGTTAAGGTCCGGTGTCCATAAGACCACATAAAGCAATGGGCTTCGCAGTATAAGATTTATTTAGCACAAGTCAAACTAGTATGGAGTTTCGAAAGCCCAGCAGTCAGGGCCATGCCCTCTAGTGGGAGAGGAACCCTTCCCCTTCTTTCCAGGGTTTTTTTGTACTCTAAAAATGCAAGGTGCTTTCCTGACCATCTTGTGCCACTTCCTGGTGACTTTTTTTTTAAGGCTAGGTGGTTATCTCTACTGACTTCAAGTAGGTTTTGCTTTTTCAGCTGATCCCCATAAGTGGGTGTTATCTGGTTCAACTGATGGTTACTGGCAAAAACTGCGCTTTTCCAAAATGGCTATGCTGATGCCAAACAAGACTAACTATTGTAAGAGGGGACTAGGTATTTGCAATGTGTATTTTGTTTGGATAATTCAGTCTTTTAAATTTTTTACAATTGTTGAGAAATAAGGATTTCTTATCTTATTTTAAGATCTGAGGTGGCAGCCGCCATGCTGCGGGGCGGGGGTGGGGGCAGGGAAGGCTGAAGAGACAGACACCCCTTCCTTCCCCGGGTGGGGGGGGGCATGGCACTGTAGTTTAACACATAGTCCATTCACATTTCTGCCGCAAGCTGCTGGGCTCTGGATTAGGTCCATGTGCCTCTGGTGCCATGGCCGTGCTGGAGAGCTGCTTGTGGGGGACAACTCGTGGCCTAGGTAGTGTGTGAAGGACCTGCCGGTTCCATCCCCATCCCATGAGGCTGCAGTTGCCCTGTCACCGCTGGCTCATACCTGGCTGTCCAACAAACTCTGAGGTGGCGACCACCGTGCTGCTGGGGGAGGGGGGTTGAGGGGGGAGGGGAGGCAGAAGAGACAGACACCCTTTCCCTCCCGGGATGGGGGCATGTCTCCATAGTTTAATGCATAATCCATTCACATTTCTGCCACAAGCTGCTGGACTCTGGGTTAGGTCCATGTGCCTCTGGTGAAAAATAGCATTGTCACTGTCACTGTCCTCCCGTTGTTCATCGATTTGCTCGAGAGGGCCCAGTAACATCTCCATTGGAGACTTTGTTGTTACTGTGTTTGGCATATCGAATACATCACGGGTAGCTTGCCAGGCTCTGCCGTGCAGGCAAGATATCTTGGTAGCTTGCTGGGCTCTCCGAGAGGGGCAGAGGAATCGAACTCGGGTCGACCATGTTGGCTGCGTGCAAGGCAAACAGCCTACCGCTGTGCTATCGCTCCAGCCCGAAAAATAGCATAGTTCTTTAAAATTTATTTGTATCATCATATTTAATTATAACACAATAATTTTATCATCTCAGTACTTGTTAAACACATATAGAATCCACTGTGGAGTCCCTGTCTCCTAGCCAGCATCATCTAATACTGAAATGGTCGTTCCCCTCTTGTAGACAATTTTAAGGAAAATCTGGTTTATATAGAGAGAAATTGAAACTTTTAGGGTCATGAAATCAATGAAGAAAACATTTAAAGTCACAAAGACATGAATCACTGTAGGAGTCCAAATTATAGTACTGAGTTTGCATGGACAAGGAGAGAATCATTATGACTAGATATTTTATCTAGCTGGATAACATGAAGATTAACAAAGATCAAGAGGTTGACAAGTGAGATAACAATAACTTGTATTATGTCATAGGACTAAATTTAAGTTTTAAAAGAAGGTATAAGTATAAAGATTCTCATCCAGTTATTGAGAACCTAATTTGTAATGGAAGCATTCTGGAAAGTGAGGAAGGCTATAAGAGGACTATAGGCTCATGTGTGTAGCTAAGGAATCGGGGAGAAGGACAGAAGAAATGTCCCTGGCCACCTCACTTATTTGGCTTTTTTCTCTTTGAACAGTGTTTGTCCAACATGATGCTGCTCAACTTTACCTCATAGTGTGGAACCTAATTAAAGACCAAATCACTGATGTGGACTTGGTAAGATCCAAGAATTTATAGCATTCAGCAGTTTAAGATGTTTTTTACTGGACTTAACTCAAGTAGAGAGGATTAAAAAAGAATCTACATAAAATGCTTATAACACTATTATTACTTTTATTACAATTTTGAACCTTTTTTTAGTAGAAGAAAGAGTATTAGTGGCTTTTGTTCCTTGAGCCTCATCACAGTTGTTTTTCTTTTTTGCCTTTGACCTGTACTTTTTGCTTTCCTCCTCTCTTTTACAGGTAGAAAGATTGCAGGATCTGTATACAATTCAACTGAAGGAGTCTGTGGTTTGCTCTGAGTGTTTGATGGAGAGTAGCAGAGACAGTCGCATGTTGACCCTCTCCCTTTCTCTTTTTGACAAAGATTCAAAACCCCTAAAAACACTGGTAATTTCTTTTGTCTATTTTGCTGCGCCCATACCTCCATAGGATCAGCCTTATTTATATCCTTTAGTTTTTTAAATTTACCATGAAACTCTGTGTGCGAGTGTGTGTGTGTGTGTGTGTGTGTGTGTGTGTGTGTGTGTGTGTGTGTGTAGGGATGGGCATTGACATCCTTGGGAAAAGGAAGGTGGGTATATTTATTGTGATGGGTGTGGTGTTGGAATTATGTACACGGGAAGACATCACATTAATAATTTTATAAATCACAGTACCTCAATCAAATTTGAAAAGGGATTTCTATTTGCTTTGCATGACTCAAGCTAAGTTCGCTCTTGATCTTATGAAAAAGAATATTATCCATCCTACTTTTCCTTTACACCATTCCTTTAACAATTGCCGCCTTCTGTTGTTTTCTAAAAATCATGAATTACTTTCTGAGAGCCTACTATGTGCCTCACACTAAAGGGACTTGCAAAGAATCAGAAGAACTTTAAATTTCTACCTGTAGTTGGAGAGTTTTTACTCTGTTTTTCAACCTTTTTTATCTGAACATATCCCCATTATAACATTGTTTCATTTTGTGGCATAACATTCTTAGTTTCATGCCATGGTTCATGTCATGGTCCCCAATTTATGAAAATTTTCACCTAGGAATATCCTAGGGGCCCACAGTGGGTCATATGATCCCCATTCTCTCATCTGCTGTACATGAGAAATACAAATCCTGTTATTTCTTTTTCTCTTGGATAGGAAGAAGCCCTTCGCTATTTCTTCCATCCTAAGGAGTTATCAAGCCAAAACAAATGTTTCTGTGTTACCTGTGAGAAGAAAACTGTTGGGAAAGAGGTACTGATTTCAGAAATCTAGTTATTGGCTCTCCTTAGTGGATTTTATGAGTCTTCAGAGAGCCCCTGAGGATACCTCTTAATGACTGAGACTAGTACTTAGGGTTCTGAGGCTTCTGATCACCAGAGCTGGATGTTCTGTTTGGAGTATATTTTGGATTTGGTCTTTGAGCCGTTCCCAGAGGTAATTGGAGACTTGTGTGTATGCAGTCAGTGCTGATGCTTAAAGCTTGGGCTCCTGCATGTAAAGCACATCCTACAGTCCTTTGAGACTTATCTTTGGTCGTCCTTGAAATCTTTTCTTGGGATGTGAGGCACACTCAGAAATGCTTGGGGTTTCTCCTGGCACTTCTCAAAGGACCTTGTGGGGTTAGAGATAGAACCAGGAGCTCCTATGTGCAAGGTATTGTTCTATTCATTTGATATATCTCCCTCCCCAATCCCTTAACCTTTTAAGGAAAATAAGAAAAGGCCCAAGAGAGGGAGACAGAGGTTTTCCCTTAGACTAACTTCCTAGGGCTGCGTTTGTCTTCCCCCTTTTTTTTTTTTAGCTTTTTGGGTCACACCCGGCAATACACAGGAGTTACTCCTGGCTCTGAACTCAGGAATTACTCCTGGTGGTGCTGGGGGACCATATGGATGCTGGGAATTGAACCCGGGTCGACCACATGAAAGCCAAACGCCCTACCTGCTGTGCTATTGCTCCAGCCCCCTGCTTTTGTCTTCTAGGGAAAGTTAAGTAGGTTCAGCAATGAGGGCCCTTTGAATTATATTATTGTACTTATCTTTGGGAAAGAACATACCATTAGACCAAGTATTTCCATGAATCAATCCATTCCAAGTGCCAAAGTCTCTATTTCCAGAGTGATTTTCTCTTTCAGGTCTTCAAGTTAACCCATTTGCCCCAAACCTTGACAATTCACCTTAAGCGGTTCTCCATCAAGAATTCGAAGACAGAAAAAAATTGCCGCTCACTCTACTTCCCTCAGAGTTTGGATTTAAATCAGGTCCTCCTGACTCAGCAAGACCTCTGCAATGCTGAGGAATATGTGAGATGGTCCTTCCTGACTCATTATGCTTAAAAAGCATCACATTCTTTCCTTTTTTTCCTTATCTTAACCTAAGTATCTTGAAGTATCCCATTCATTAATTAGCAGTGTTTTGGGGGGTTTCTGTCTGTGTCATTCTCTCATCTCAGAAATATCCTCTACTACCCATACTTGAAATACACAAAAGGGAAAACATTGATTGACAACTTGGTGTGATGCATAAAGGCCACTGTAAGGAAAAGTTACTTTTTTTTTTGCTTTTTGGGTCACACCCAGCGATACACAGGGGTTACTCCTGGCTCTGCACTCAGGAGTTACTCCTGGCGGTGCTCAGGGGACCATATAGGATGCTGGGAATCCAACCCGGGTTGGCCGCGTGCAAGGCAAATGCCCTACCCGCTGTGCTATCTCTCCAGCCCCAGAAAAATTACTTTTTTTTTTTTTTAGAAAAATTACTTTTTAAAATAATATTTTTTAAATGTAGGAGTACTGCTATTTATTCAACCACTGATTAGCTGACTGAATTGTGCATGAACTCCATCTTACTTTTTTTTTCATTTTTTATAATTTTATTTATTGAATCATCGTGAGAGCAGTTACAAAGCTTTCGGGTCTAAGTCTCAGTCATACAATGAAACAACCGTACCTTCACCAGTGCCCATTCTCCACCACCAAAAACCCCAGTATACCCCCATCCCACACTCTCCCTAAAATAATATTTTAATGATCAAAATTGAGATATATAAAAAAATTGAGTCATGATAGACCTCAGAATCTTTTCTACCATAGGGGCTGAAGGGATCATACAGTGGGTAAGGCACTTGCCTTGTATATGGCTAGCCTGGGTTTGATCCCTAGCATCCCATATAGTCCCCTGAACCACACCTGGAGCAGTTCCCAAATGCAGACCTCTAAGCACTGCCTCGTTTAGTCCAAAAACAACAAAAAAATCTTTTCTACTATAATGTAACTTATTTCCCACTGTGGCATATTCATTCACTACAGGTTTTTTTTTATTCTTTGATTTTTCCTTAATTCTACTCACACAGTCTACTTGATGGAGTTATTTAATATTTCTTTTTCTTCTTGAAATAGTTATTATGGAAAAAGATCGTGCTTACTCCTCACTGAATCTCCAAGACTCTCAAGTTGCTTCAACAGTTATCAAAGCTCATGGACATTCTTGCATTGCCTACATTTTTGTTCTCTTTCCCTTTTAGATGGATTATTTTAAGTGGATTATGTTGAAGTAAATCCCAGATATAGTGCCCCTTCATGGGTATTGACTTCAGACAGAAGTATTCAGTTATTCCGATAACAATCGAATTTATTTGGAAACAACACAAAAATAAAAAATGTGTTTTTGGAGATACACCTATTTCACTTTTTCAAATCTCTGGCTAATTGTCCAACATCTGAAGTACTTCTAAGTCTCTCTGATGGAAAAAACATCACTTTGTGTAGGAGATGCAAGTAGTCTGCAAATAATATGCTTATGTACTCATATACATACATTTTTGTGGACTAGTAATCCCATTTAAATAGTGTTTATGCATACTGATGTTTATAAATCATCTTATTATTTCTAAAGAATTAATACAATTTTCTAGAAGTAACCAAGTCATTTTGTAATGCTTGATATCATCTAATATCCAATCAATATTCAGATTTCCCTGACTACCCTATATTTGAAATTTCTTGTTTTCTCCTCTTTTAGTTTGGTTAAGTTTATTCATATTTCCCATATTTTTCTTTTACTTGATATTTTCTAGTTGAAGTTTTATATATACCTATTATAAAGATATGTGAAATATGTACAAGACACGTTGGTACTGGTACCAGGCTGGTTGGTACTATTTCTTTTCACTAGATCTGGAAATTGCCTTGCATTAAAAAAATCCAGCATTAGTGAAGTCTGGAGAGGATATGTACAGAATGATCTCTCTCATATATGGAATATAAAAAAACAGCAAATGGCCAAAGGTAACAGAACCTGAGAGCCAGTCAACAGATTTGAAGGGGAGATCAGTGGGAAAGAAAGATGGAAGATGCAAGGGATGAACTGAGATAATAGTGGAGGGAAGTAGACACTCTAGCGGAGGGCGTAGTGTTGGGATGTTTTATGCATTAAATTCTATATTTAACAGTATTGAAGATTATAGCACCTCAAAGTAAAAAAACACAGCATAAAGTAACTACTGGAAAATAGAACACTTTGAAACGTTTTTTGAAGACTTCATTTGCACTGCTCGCACTCCTGCCCCTCCTCATTGATTCTGTTTTAAAAGGACAGTTTTGATATACTGAGTAAAGTAGAATAATATTCATTCTAGAAATAAGAATTTATGTCCAATGTGAGATCCTTCTCACAGTCAAAATTATCTTTCTATTGCTATTACTCATTTTCACAGAGAATTATTTCTTATCTTGACTTTCCAAGGTTTGAGTGAATTGAATGACTTACCGCAAAATATAAGGAATACATTTTGGGATTTTCCTGACCTGATTTCTTTGTAGTATTCTATGCTATTAATCCTCTTCTGCTATTGTTCCTACTATGGTCCTAACACATGATACTGAGGCACAAAATGACTTTCCAAAATGGAGTCATAGTGGTTCTCTCAATCACTTGCAACAAACACCCAAAAGAACTGCTGGTTGTAGTCTCAGAGAACCTTGAGTATCACTGGTGCTCTTCTTTGCACTGTTTGAGAGGCTCCTCCTCTCAAAAACTATCACCTTCACCTCTGGAATAAAATTCTAATCATTGACTTGACCTTTGTAACCTCTTCTCTTGTGACATATATATATATATATAATATATATGAAGCAAGATAGTTTTTTTTTAACTTGAGGAAAGAATTTTTTATTTCTCTTCCTTACTGTAGTTGTGATGACCTGATATTTGGTGGTATTTGTTTTCTTTTTTTCTTTTTTTATTAGTGAAACACCATGAGGTACAGTTATAGACTTACAAATTTTGTGCTTGGGTTTCAGTTATACAATGATCAAGTGCCCATCCCTCCACCAATGCCCGTCATCCATCACCACGGGTCCCAGCATCCCCCCAACCCCGCATCACCCCCGTCCCATCCTGCCACTGTGGCAGGGTATTCCCCCTTGTTCTCTCTCTCTTCTTTTGGGTACTGTGTTTTGCAAGAGAGGCACTGAGTGGCAATCATGTTTGCTCTATAGACTACTTTTAGCATTGAAGCAAGATAGTTTTATTGTAAATTGTTTAGAAAGGTGTGATGGGAGAGAACAGGAGAAATGTGTGTTCAAGAAAGAAAATTGGCTCCTCAAAAGTGTAAAAAAGTTTAAAAGGAAGCTCAGATAGAGAAGAGAGCACCAAATAAAGGGTGTTGTGAGGACCCTCCCAGGGTGGGAGAAGCATGCTATAAACCAAACATGAATGCCTCTCATGCAAAACACAGTACCCAAAAGAAGAGAGAGAGAACAAGGGGGAATACCCTGCCACAGAGGCAGGATGGGACGGGGGGTGGGGATGGGGGGGATGCTGGGACCCGTGGTGATGGATGACGGGCACTGGTGGAGGGATGGGCACTTGATCATTGTATAACTGAAACCCAAGCACAAAATTTGTAAGCCTATAACTGTACCTCATGGTGTTTCACTAATAAAAAAAGAAAAAAAGTGTAAAAAGCAAGCAAGCAAAGATTCAGAGTCAAGCGAGATACATGTTCAAAGGAGGACATGACATAAAGAGCAAGCACCTAGGACCTGATATTCATATGCTTTCCTCTACTATGCTACTAACCTTTGCAATTTCTGGGTACATATTCAAGTATACCATATCCTATAAGTTGTTTATCAGTTTCTTTTATCTTTTAAAACCAGTTCGAGCATGCTTCTCTGGGAAGCCTTTACTAGTAGCTTATCATTTCCTCAGCTGATTGCTTCATATCAAACCCTTTGGTAAAAGTTGGATCTTCCCTCTTAGTACATCTGATATGTATTGTAGCAGTGTAGCACTGTCCTCCCGTTGTTCATTGATTTGCTCGAGCGGGCCCAGTAATGTCTCCATTGTGAGACTTGTTACTGTGTTTTGCATACGTCACGGGTAGCTTGCCAGGCTTTGCCATGTAAGCGAGATACTCTCAGTAGCTTGCCAGACTCTCCAAGAGGGGCAGAGGAATCAAACCCAGGTCAGCCAGGCCGGCTGCATGCAAGGCAAACACCCTACTATGGCTTATTCTCTATGAAGTTCTTTTATGTTTATTGAGGCAGTTTTTTACAATGTTATTTATGCATGAGTATTAGGCATACAATTTTCCAATACTATTCTCCCGATTAATTGACTATGTTCACTTCTCTTCCCTAATGTCCCCAGCTTTCCTCCCCTCCCCCATTCTACCTCTGTGGCAGGCACTTTTTCTTTTTAGGCATTATGGTTTACAATATTGTTGCAATTGTGTTTTATGCCTAAAACATTACCATGTTCTATCACCCTTTATTCCTCCAGAGTGGCCACTTCCCTCAGCCATTGTCATAGGGTTCCCCTCCCCTCCCCATCCTATTCCCTGTCCCTATCCCCAGTGACATGCCTCCTACTGAAGACAAGATCTCATGTTTTTGTTTCTATTGCTTTTGGATGGGCTGGAGCGATAGCACAGTGGGTAGGGCGTTTGCCTTGCAAGCGGCCAACATGGCCGGCCCGAGTTCGATTCCTCTGCCCCTCTTGGAGAGCCTGGCAAGTTACTGAGAGTATCTCGCTCACATGTCAAAGCCTGGCAAGCTACCTGTGATGTATTTGATATGCTAAACACAGTAATAAGTCTCACAATGTTACTGGGCCCGCTCGAGCAAATCGATGAACAACGGGAGGACAGTGATAGTGATAGTGCTTTTGGACATTTGTTATTTCCCTTTCTTTTCATCCTGCATATGAGATCATTCTGTGTCTCTCCCTCTCTAGGTCAAGGACTGTTTTGCAGTTCTCTGGAAATGCCAATGTGGCTAAGAGTAGGCAGTAAATAATTGCTTGATGAAATGATGGTTTCTACTTTAGAAAATAAAGTATAATAAGAGAATAATTTTTTGCCTCATGTCCTTACAGCTTGGAGGGCAATATGAACTCTTTGCTGTGATTGCCCACGTGGGAATGGCTGATTTTGGTCATTACTGTGCCTATATATGGAATTCTGTGGATGAAAAATGGTTCTGCTTCAATGATTCTAATGTTTGTTGGGTAAGGAACAATTTATCAAATAATCTATCAACTCTATTAAATTCTGAGTGCAGGATTAGATAGGTTCTCAAAGTCAAAACACATTGCGATTCTGTTCTTGGTGTTTTTTGTTTTGTTTTGTGTAGGATAACATAGCCTCAGGTAGTTTAGGTTTATTGGATTGCTCCCATCACAGTGCTCCCTTTCCTCTGTGTTTATTTGTAACTTCTTTGTGCTCTGTTGACATGTATATATTATTTTTCTCTTCTCCTTGAGTCCTTTGTATAGTTTATTCAGAGCAATGTCCTTCTTGTATGGGCACAGGAAGACAGTAGCAAATGCTATGCTTTTGTTATGTGGGAGTCATTTGACTCCGAATGATATTTTCTTCCTGGGCATCTGTTATCTCATCCTAAGCCTTAGCTGCCCTTACTTTCTACCACCCCCCAAAGCAGAGTCCTGACGAGGGACTGGATGGACCCAGGGCAAGCAGTGAGCTATGTGTTACCCTGGCATCGAGATGGGTCTGGCCAAAGTGCCTAATGATTAATTATAAGAGCTTGGTCATGGACAGATGCTGTCATGATCAAAAAAGTAATAAATATATCTAGACCCTACTTAGGTTAGGAATGATTAATCTGGCCTGAGCCACTGTAGTCTGAATCTGTGGCAAGATGTTCCCAGGAGAGCTGCCCTACAAGCTTCAATGTATCTCTCACTGTGTCCATGCAAAAATAACTAAAGGAGGAAAACACCTTAAGAGCTATTTTGCCCGGGCTCTCCGGAAGGGCTTCTTTAAGTTATTTATGCTTCCAGACTGGGTGAACCATGGGCCAGGAGGGCAAGGTGAAGAGATATAAGTAAGGGTAGAGAGAGAAGCAGTGGGGTCAGAATCAAGAAAGAAGAGAAAGAGCCCAGGCTGTGGGATGCAGCTCTGAGAGATGAGCCGGGATGGAAGAATGAGGGACAAGGAAGGAAGAATGTGTGAGATTGGAGAGAAGAGAGATTGAATAAATGGTAACTAATCAGGTTGAATAAATGGTAACCAATCATCAACCAGTCTGGTCCTCAGTGTCCTTCACCTGCCCATTACCTACAGCTGTCCCAATCGAGCACCAAATGCTGGTGGTGAGAGAGAGCCGCCTGGAGAGCCCGCGAACACACATCCCTAGGCGGGTGTACTCCTTACAGTTTTGTTTGTTTTTCTGTTTAAAATTCCTTCTATATAAGTCTGCTTAGCTAATTGTCTAGATTTCTGGTATTCTAGGTTCATTACTCAGCAACTTTATTCTGTAGGAAATTTATGAAAATCAAGAATGAGATATACGATCATTGTATAACTGTAACCCAAGCACAAAAATTTGTAAGTCTACAACTGTACCTCATGGTGTTCCACTAATAAAAAATTTAAGAAAAAAAAAGAATTAGAATATAAAGGTTAGAACCCTAGAGCTAAGTTCAAACAGAAAGTTTAGCAAAAGTTAAGTTCAAACCACAGCACCCAAAAGGAGAGAGAGAACAAAAGGGAATGCCCTGCCACAGAGGCAGAGTGGGGCAAGGGGTTGGGGGGTGGGAGGGATACTGGGATCAGTGGTGGTGGAGAATGGCACTGGTGGAGGGATGGGTACTCGATCATCGTATAACTGAAACCCAAGCACAAAAATTTGTAAGTCTACAACTGTACCTCTGTGTTTGGCATATCGAATACGTCACAGGTAGCTTGTCAGGCTCTGCCATGTGGGCAAGATACTCTCAGTAGCTTGCCGGGCTCTCTGAGAGGGGCTGAGGAATCGAACTCGGGTCGGCCATTTCCCTTGCAAGGCAAATGCCTTACTGCTGTGCTATTCGATACGCCAAACACAGTAACAACAAGTATCATGATGGAGACGTTACTGGGCTCGCTCGAGCAAATTGATGTACAATGGGAGGACCATGACCGTGACCGTGACAACTGTACCTCATGGTGTTTCACTAATAAAAATGAAAAAAAAACTTTAAAAGAGAAAATATACATCTTACTACAAGATGATCTGGGGAATTACTAGGGATGGGTTTTAGCTAAGGAGTGAGGGATAACAAATGGTGGCATAATTGAACCTGTACTCTCTGATTACTTAGCAAAATACTAATTGGATGCATAATTTAATTTATGTACTTACAGGTTTCCTGGGAAGACATCCGCTGCACTTCTGGAGATCATAACTACCGCTGGTAAGAGAAGTGTAGAAATCTGATGTTCTTACAGAGTTTTTGTTTAACTTAACTATCACTAATATTAGGAAACTGAAAGCTACCGATAGTATCTCGCCCGAATGGCAAAGCCTGGCAAGCTACCCGTGACGTATTCAATAAGCCAAATACAGTAACAAGTCTCATAATGGAGACATTACTGGGCCCGCTTGAGAAAAAATATTAGGAAAACTCTACAGTGACTGTTCAGCCTTATCCTTCAATATCTATTTCAATGCATCCCCACCCCCCAAAAAAATTTTTGGAAAGACATTTTAAATCAAAAGTAGTATTTGAAAGTAATATTTGAGATGATTTTAGCTGAGAAGCAAGACTGATGATTTAACAATTAATTATGTATTAGGTAAAATTTAGGTTTAAAATCTTCTTCTATCCTTGACTTTTTAATCTTTCTCTTCTCTTTATTCTAAATATTTCCCACAGATGGCACTTTCTGGTTGTCTGTGATTCCCTCAGTTTTAAGATCAGGGTTTGGCAAATTTTCTTTTCAGATGGCTAGCAAGTAAATATTGTAGGTGTTGTGAGCTTTGGGAAACTACTTAGCAGTACAGGTAACACATAAATGCATCAGCATGGCTGTTCTGTCTCCTCTTTTGTTAACATCTATCTACTTATTTATAATTATTAAATCATTGTTGTTTTAAACAATAAATTATTGAAATAAAATAATTTATTTATTTATTTTATTTATATAAATTAAATAAATAATTTATTTATTTATTTTATTTCAATAATTTATTGTTTTAATAATAAATATTAAATCATTATTGTTTTAAATAAAATAATTATTATTTTGACACACTTGAGAACCATTCAGTGCTGGGGATTATGCCCAGGGTGCTCCAGCTCTTTGAATCATCTGTCTATATATTAATTCAAAGGTCATTCCTAGCAGTGATAGAGATCACTAAATGGTTTTAGAGAGAGGGCTATGTAGTAACAGGGATTGAATTTCCAGCTTTGTATATGTCAAACTACTTTCTAGTTCTTCGGTCACTAGTTTAAATGTTAACGTCGTAACTAGTTGTTTTTCTAGATTACACACTTTTTTCCTCCCTGAGGTGAAGATTTGATCTAACAACTCAGAAAATTTTACATTTGTTCTATGATGAAACAAGGTCTAATTATAATTAAAGTATGAGTAATTTCTACTATACTGTTGTAATTTTTGCTTCTAGGAGAGAAACTGCATATCTTCTGGTTTACGTGAAGACTGAATCCTAATGAATGCATCCTAGACCTTGAGAGATCAGCAGAGAATAATTTTATTTCTATTCCTGGATCTGTTGGCACTTTTATCAGACTTTTCAGTGAAAAGATACACTATTAAAAACTACATAATAATTAAATCTTATTTATAATCAAAGGTGAATACCAAAATATTTAACAATAAATGACAAAGTTTACGACAAGTCAGAATGATCAATATTTCCACCACTGGTTTTTGACCATTTGTCTGGAGCAGAGTTTTTAATACTCCCAGTTATGTAAAGCATCAGTCCTTTAGTTGAGACTGAGATAATCCAGATACTTGTAAATGGGAAATAGTGAGAGGCATTCAGAAGATAAAGTACAGTTAGGGATGCTCAACTGTTTCATAAAGGCTCAAGTGCTTCATAATTGTTGCTAGTTTATTTGGTAGACGTGTATTCATCATTTATTTTCCATAAAATACTGCATGAGGCACGAAATTAATAAAGTTCTTTCTCTTAAAAGGTGTTTTCATTTTAATGGGTAGTACTTAAAGAATTTGGCACTGGTGATGGGTGTGGCATTGGAATCATTTACATCATTAACTGTTTTATAAATTATAGAATCTCAGTAAAAAACTTTTAACACTGAAGATTTGTGAAATAGGAGTTCAAAGGAAAATGAAATCAGTTCTTGCTTATAGGAGAACAAAAAATAAAATGGAAAATAGTTCACTTTAGGAAAAGGCATATTCAAAGGTATGGTTGAAAAAGGTAAGGTTCAAGGTTATCTATGAACTTAACTACCTCCACCAGGTAACCAAGTAGTTAACAGAATGGGTCTATATGGAAGGCAGGTGGAGCTAATCATGTAGATCTTGAACTAAGCTTGGTTTAAATTTAAAGTTCTTTAACAGTGGGTAGGGTATTTGCCTTGTACACAGCTGACCCGGGTTCGATTCCTCCACCCCTCTCGGAGAGCCCGGCAAGCTACCGAGAGTATCTTGTCCACGAGGTAAGGCCTGGCAAGCTACCCGTGATGTATTCGATATGCCAAAAACTAACAACAAATCTCACAATTTGTTGTGAGATGTTACTAGTGCCCGCTTGAGCAAAATCGATGAACAACTAGAGGACAGTGCTACAGTGGACAGTGCTACAATTATTAAATCATCAACAATTTAATAAATCATCGATGGTTTAGTAATTATTAAATAATTTTATTAATTATTATAATTATATATTTCTATATAATATAAATAATTATTACATAATAATTAACCAAGAACTGCTGAAGAGGTAAAAAAGAGTGGTATTTTAGTAATATAAATATGCTAAGTGCTAATAACATGAATTAGGAACGGGGAGATAGGGTGAACGGAAAGACTCTCAGAGGCACTCAACCCAATTTTAAGGAAGAACCTATGTGGACAGTGAGAAAAGAGGAGTTCCAAGAGATTCTAATATTAATGTGGAAGTTGATGCAGGTAGGTGATAGCATCTCCATGTTAAATACATTTACACATTTACATTTAAATATATGTACATTTATACATTTATGATTCATTCAAAATCTCATGCATTATGGGACCAGAAAGTAAGGACACAATGGGTAAGTATGTTGCCTTGCATGCAGTTGACCTGGATTTGATCCAGGACACCAGAACCCCAACAGAAGTGATCTCTGAGCCACGAGCCAGAAGTAAGCCTAGGGTACAATTGGGTGTCACCAACCAGCACAGTCCCACCCTCAAATAATACATATACATTTTTATGCCTATTAAATGAAAGATTTGAAGTGTCAATCAAACTACATTCTCAGAATTTTTTTATATTGCAACATATTGAATTTGCTATTGAAATCAATGGGGAATGAGCTAAAGCTTAGGCACACTGATATTATATGTAGTTGCTTGAACTGCATTTGTAGTGAGTTTATCCAACTTCTGCCTAATATGTGTTGCAAGTTAGGGTGAAACACTTTAAATCTGCTATGAAACCAATAAAAAATGCCTTCCTAAATATACAGTTTATCTGATGAAGAGTGAGCAAGAGCTTTTCTGTTTATTTGTTCTTTTTGCTCTTTTTGTTGATGTTTTGGGGCCACACCTGGTGATGCTCAGGAGTTACTTGTGGATCTGCACTCAGGAGTAACTCTTGAGTTCAAGGAAACATATGGAATGCCAGAGATTAAACCTAAGTTGTCCAGGTGCAAAGCACACGCCCTACCCACTGTACTATATTTCTGGCCCCACATGTGTTCCGTAAGTGTTCCATGTAATATTTTAAACACTTGTAGTAGAAATCTCCATATTCTACCTGCTTTTTCTATAGAAGCAGGGTCACATGTTCCTATTATTGAATACCATGGAAAATCCCACTGAAATCAGTAGAAAAATGCAGTTACATAAAAATGCAGTTTCATAAAATATCTCTGAGAAATAGTGAGTTAAAACTTAGAAATACTACAATTATATGTTGTACTTTGAACTACACTTGAAGTTAGAATGTCTATCTTTGGACATACAGAGTATCAGGATGAGTGAAATGAGCAGGAGAAAGACAGACATTGAATGATTGCACTCATAGAATGCCCATCTTCTGCCTGCTGTGGGTTTAAAACTAAGATAGACATGGAGAGTATCATGCTAAGTGAAATGAGTCAGAAAGAGAGGGACAGACATAAAAGGACTGCACTCATTTGTGGAGTATAGAATAACATAACATGAGGCTGACACCCATGGACAGTAGATACAAAGGCCAGGAGGATTGCTCCATACGTGGAAGCCTGCCTCATGAGCAGAGGGGAGAAGGAGGCAGCTGGCAACAGAGAAGGGATCACTAAGAAAATGATGGCTGGAGGAATCAGTCGGTATGGGAGATGTGTGCTGAAAGTAGATAATGGACCAAATGTGATGACCTCTCAATGTCTGTATTGCAAACCATAATGCCCAAAAGTAGACAGAGAGTATGGGGAATATTGTCTGCCATGGAGGCAGGGGGAGGGTGGGAAAGGGGCGGTATACTGGGGAGATTGGTAGTGGGGAATGTGCACTGGTGGAGGGATGGGTGTTTGATCATTGTGTGATTGTAACCCAAACATGAAAGCTTGTAACTATCCCACGTTGATTCAATAAAATTAAAAACAGAAACAAAAACAAAAAACCTAAGGTGGCTTATTTCTTGCATTGCAACACATTGAAACTCCCATTGAAATCAGTGAAGAAAATTCACTTTCCTAAAAACGCAGTATCCTCTCAGAAAGAGTGAGCTTGAGTTTAGCTGCATTAGTACTGATCAGTTTTTAGGGTGACTGTCCTCTATGACTTTGTGTCTCTGTGCGTTTTTGGACACCAGGTGATCTATGCACCCTTGCTGGATCTGAATTTGTCTGTCTGTCTGTCTCTTACTCTCTCTCTCTCTCTCTTTCTCTCTCTCTCTTCTCTCTTTCCCTCTTTCTCTCGTAAGCAGTCTCACCCTATTCGAATTAGGTGCATTCCAACCTTCTCTCCTCCTACCATCTCATAGGCAGCGGTCGGTCCTCCAACCCCCATTCCTGACAGGCCAAAGGGAGGAGCCAGTCTGAAGGAGATTCTTGAGAACCAAAAGCTCCATTTGCGATAGGATGGCATGACATGGAATGTAAGGGTGGGATGAGCTGAGCTGCACAGCGGTGACTGGGCTGGACCGGGCAAGACTGGGCTGGTGTGTGGTGCATAGGTGGCACTTTGAAACAATCAGGAAGAGGGAAACTCAGGTTGAGTTGTCACGACCATCCCCAAACCTCCTCCTAGCTTCTGAGACAGCCTGTGTGGCAGTAGGTGACTGCTTCTTGTCTCTCAGCGGGCAATGTTGTGGGAAAGGCTCTCAGCTTCAATTCAGAGGGAAGGAGCTGGCACAATCAGGTGGCCCTGCTGCCATGCTCCCTGGGAGTCACTGCAAGTCCTTCAGCTCCTGCTTTCCACCTCCCCACCCCTGGCCCTCAAGGCCCTCCACTGCACCTGTTCCCTCAAAGACGGTCCCTGCAAAAAGAGACAGAGCATTGGACACAGACTGGGACCGGTGCCCAGGGACACTTTGTGGTGCTGCAGGAGTCCACTTGGGAGGCCCAGCTAGCTGAAGGGAACGTGGGTGGGAGTGATGGGCAGAGGATGCTGACGGTACTGCTGCTGAAAGAGGAAGAGGCAGCTGGTTAAGAGGAAGGAGGCTGGCTGGGTTGCCTGCAGAGCACAGACAGGTCTGAGAAGGACGCTGTCGCTGCCAGGACCAAAAAACCTTGGGTGGCAGAGCACAGGACCCCTGACAGCGGGAGTGGCTCCCTTGGGTGGTTTCGCACTTAGGACCTAGGGGTTGTCAGAGAGACTTTGAGTCGCAGACAGGTGGCACCCAATGGGGTCGAAGAGGCCTGTTCGCTCTGTGGGCTCGGGAAAGGTTGGACGCCTTCTGCTACTTAGCTCTGGGCAGCCGTGCGGACTCAGTAGTCCAGTCCTACAGCTCACAGGGGTGTGCGCCGCCTGTCTCCCAGGAGCGCACTGTAGGCCAGGGAAGAGATCGGAGAGCAAGACCCCACCAAGTCCCGAACCACGTGCCGAGGTGGGGGCGAGGGGCAGCGCGCGTGGTCCGCCCCGCGAGAGTTCCACGCCGGGCCCTACTCTCTCCCGAGGGGCAGGACGTGTCTGATACCCACCTGGAACGCGGCGAGGGTTTGCGGGTGGGCTTCACCTGGGGTCCGGCCTCAGGAAGTGGCTGAGGTGCTGCAGGCATCTGTGGCCGCAAACCTCCTTGCGCAGCTCCAAAGGACCTCGTGTCCCTGAACGTGCCCACCTTGGTCTGGTCGACGGGGCTTGTTTTTCCACAAGGGCTACCCGCATCTCATGCAGGCCAGTGCCCGAGGAGGGAGGGCCCAGCCTAAAGTTGACTTGACTGGAGTGACCGTGCCCACTGTCGGCTGGCTTGAGGTGGCAGAACAACTGGCCTGCGCCGGCTGAGAATACATCCTGGGCAACAACTACCATCCGCCCACATCCAGGGTGGTGTGGCTGTCCAATGCGCCAGTCTGCGCCCCCGCTGTACAACTTCAGCACAGCACTGTTCCTCAGAATCCCCGCGGGGGGCAGGAGAGGAGGAATGAAGGATATGGCTGTGCCCAGTGGGTGTCCCCAGGAACCTGGAGCTCGAACCTGTTGTCTGCAGTGATGGTGCAGTTCCCACCATGTCCACCAAGAGGTGACAGCGGCTTCCTCCATCTCGCTGCCAGTGAGTGCCCACTGAGACAGAGATGGACTGAGTCGGGGTGACTAGGCAGATAGATAAGGGAAGCTCCCCACCCCCACCCCACATCATGGCGATGTACTTTCTGGGAAGTAATAAAGTCACAGTCCTAAGTCTGACCCACCTTGTGGATACAGAAAACAATACCTGATAAGATCTCCTGCTGGGGCTGGAGAGAGAGCACAGCGGGTAGGGTGTTTGCCTTGCATGTGGTGGACCCGGGTTTGATTCCCAACATCCCATATGGT